ATGTTCAGAGGTGTATAAAGCTCTTTAGCTTAGCACCTGGAACACAAATAAAAGCTTAACAAGTGCTGGTTGCGATACTTGTTTTTCTTGTGAGTTCCTCCAAGGAGTTGTATGTTTTTCATAATAGTATCCTCAGTGCTTAGTAAATGACTGGGGATCAGTGTTTGATCAATGCAGAGATCTGAAGGCCAGTGTCCTACTAGAATTCTGTAGGACATAGATAGGCTCCTCCACCCCAGTGGCTCCAGGAAACCAACCATCCCCAGTACCTGCAGACCAACAGCAGCTCATTCTCCCTGAAACCTCGAACGGTATCTCTCCCAAACACCCTGATGGGACCAAACCACTTCTGCAGAAATGATTTGGGAACTGCTTGTCCAGCTTCTAATAGATGGCTTCAGGGTAACTGCCCACCCCCATCTTCATCTACCCTCACATAAACCACTCTATATAATATTCTTCAATGCTGTCTCCATCTTACATAGAGTATGAATAAAACCCTGTTAAGAAAACTGTTTTTAATCAATATGAAACATATAATGTAACTACAAAACAAGTGGTTAATTGTACAAATGTAGTTTCAAGAAAAGTCCTCCTACCTTCTCCTCCTACACACATGAACTTCATATCAAATTGCAGCCCGAGTCCTTCTTATATTGATTTCTGGAACAGCCTCAGCCAGTTGCCTCCTTCCCCCACCTCCGAACTATTATTAAATAAGAGATGAATGATTTAAATGCAATTGGTGATAGAAGTAAAGAATTGATTCAGAACTGATAAGGTGATACTCATTGTGATTATGGGGAAACGGAACTTGAACTCTAGTGCCAGGTTTGCTCCAGAAATGTCAGATGTTTCACCAGCCATCCATCTCCAGGGACATTCGGAGGTCAGATGTCAGACTTTGAACTTGACTTTAATCCTTTAAATCCTGAAACTTGGCGTTGAGATCAATGTGCACTGTAATTTCTTGGGATGATGAAGGGTCTCTAGGTAGATAACACTGCTCAGTGCCTCTCTAGGTCACAGCAGGCATCAGCAGAAGGAGGAATCTGTCTCAGAGAAATGGCAGTAAAGGCAGCCAGAAGGAAAACTATCAAAAGTATCACAATCATACTTGTAGATACAAATGGGTCCTCAAATAGAACACAATAAAATTTATGTGTTCACACAAAAGTGGCAGTGAAATCTTTGAAAATAGTTATTTAGCATTATATTTTTACTAATTTTAAAATGTTATCCATGTTTTTAATTATGCATATTTGATCAAGACAATTCTTGTACAGATTTCTAATTTCTTCAAATATCCCTTTAATAATACTGAAGAATATAATAATCAATACTCTGTTATGTCCCCTAGCGTTATGAGAACATTGTGTCAGGTATCACCAGGAATGAGAAAAAAATAAGGAAAATAAATCAGAACTGAACCTGATAGAATTTTCATCAGAGCATGAATGTAATCTTGTTCTACAGGTAGGATCCATAATAAAGGGTAAAAAGACATAGCATTTAAACAAACCAGACTGTTAGAAACGCAATATTGTTCCAGAGAGGGGAAGGGATGTCATACAAGGATAAGGAGTTATTATGAAGACTAGCTCTTCACGCATGTGCATAAAGGGGAACTAATAGAGATAATATATTTAAACCTTCATAAAGCTTTTGACAAATTCACATCCAAATGAGTCATCCTGTGACTGGCAGAAGCTGCTTTGTTTTTCACTGAGGTCTGAATCAAAACCTAAAACTTATTTCTGGCATAAAGTCTTACACAGCCCGATTACTGGTTATCCTCCAGCCTCTCTTGCCCCATCATCCTCCAAGACCCAGAATGACCTTTCAGGAATGTAAAACCAATCAGGTTACTCTTGCTTAATACCTTCAATGGCTCCCACTGCCATTAGGATGAGGCCTAAAGTCCTTAACTGTGATAAGGGCCTTATGATCTGGTGCTGATTATCTTCCTCAGTATACATCATTCTTTTTGATGCTCAGCACTTGAACCACTTTCTTATGTTCGGGAATTGCTTACCTGCCTCACACTTTAGAGCTGAATATGCCACATGCTTGCTTTTCAGCCTCCCTTGCAGCTAAAACTCAGGCACATGACCTGGGCTCAGCCAATCATATACGCCTGGACTCAGAAGCAAGTGATGGCGATACAGAGATCTTGAGGAACTCTTTCTAGTGGCTGTGGTTGTAACAAGCTTGAGTTCTTGGGCCAAGAGAAGCAGCAGTACCAATGTGGGATCCTGTGCCCAGCACCCAGAGCTAGCAGCATCAAACTCTTGGCAGCATTTAGTGCTCAGACAAGGTGGCAATTGCTGTTCTTACCAGACCATTTCTGGGTAAGATACGGGACACTGTTTGTAATAAGAAATATTTTTAAATTAATTAAACTCTTAAGAATATATTGCTCAATAATTCTCAATGCTAAAAAAATGTTTTAAAAATTATGACTATACCTTCCTGGGTACTGCCTTTTCAGTTTATCCACTAAAATATGCTGTAAATGTTTTTCCTATTACTAAGGTTTACTAGAACAAGTCCCAAAGACGGAAGACTGATATGATCAAGGACTAAAATCTTCATCTTGTTTATGTCTTGACACATTACATAAGAACAATTGGGCAGTGGATTTGAGCAAATAACAACAACAAAATACAAATGGACAAAAATATATGAAAAAAGTAAGACCTCAATAAATAAAATGCAAATTAAAGTTTTTATCAATCAGATTTAAAAACAGTAATGGTAAACACTGAGATCTTAATGAGTGCCTATTCTAAATACTTTATAAATAATAACTCATTAAACAATGAGTTTAATAAGTGTATTATTAGTATATCCATTTTAAAGATAAGGCAACTGAGACAGAATTTAAATACTCTCCAGCCCAGCTCTTTTGACCAGTAAGTGGCTGAGCAGGGATACAAAAGCAAGGTCAGGGGGTATGACTAGAAGTTCCAACCCTCTAATCACATGGCTTGTTCTTCTTAAGTCACTTCATTAACGTAATAGATACCTTTATCTGTCATTACTTAAGAAATTGCAAGAGTTTTTAGCTGACAGAAACAGGGAGAAAAACCAAACATATATTTATTACACGTCATAGTATCATGGGATTTGACTTTACCTGAAGCTATAACTATCTCCGGGTCATTTTGGGTTTCTTGTACCTGGGAAACAGTAGACCAAAAAAAAAAGTTCCATATTGGCAGCACTAAGTGGCCTTGATCACAGGGAGCTAGAGTTACTGCTACACAAGGAAGGCAGGAAAGGATATGCCTGGCACCCAGGGGACTGTGGCGTATCTTGGTGCTTCCATGTCCAGTGATAACCAGAAAGAAATAACTGCTGCAACAAAGGCCTGATGATGCTAGAGTCACTATGATTCTAGTCATGCAATGAAAGTCCTAGCGACTCCATCAGGCAAGCAATCCAGACCTGCTAAAGTGAAGGTCAAGGGAAATCTGGAAACCATGGGGGAAATGCTGATTAACAATTATAACCTCAACTTGATCCAACAGTGTGGACGGCAGCTTGTTCCACTAACCTTCTTGTGCTGAGACTGCACTTAACCACCCTGAACATGATACAGACTGGGCTTAATGTGTGCATAGATCTAAGCAGCGCATGGGGTGCTTGAGAAAATCCTACACCTCTTGTGCCTGCCTCCCTCCTCTTGGCCCATCTTTTTACTCTAATTGCTGCTGCAGCTCTCAGACAATACTTCACCTCAGCTGTATAGCATATCATTTACTTTCTGCCTTAAGTTTCCTTCCTCCTCCATGTGACATGCCTGTAAGAGTATGGTCAGCCATTCTGAGGTACGCCCATGCCTGGAAATGTAAAGGAATTAATTGCACCAGAGAACTCTTAACCAGCAAGGGGAGGAGCTGGTGGATAAATATCCACCTTTCTCATGTCTGAAGAGAAAATTCCATGTCCATTCCACAGGACTCCTCAGGAGGTCCCTAGAATTAAGTTGGTCACCCCCAGAGGTAACAGGCTAATTGCACACTCAATGGGCTTTCCCTCTATGCCTGTTTCACTTACCAGTCTCTCACTTGTTCTTTCAGATCACTTCCTAACATCAACTATCTGTATACAAACTTTTCTCTCCTAGGCTTATACAAGGATCCAATGACAGAATAGCTATAAATATACCTTGAAAGTTAAACCAATATACTAATGTAAAACAGTCCTACAGAAGATGCTGTTCCTCCTATAGCACCTGATGTTTTTACTCTGCCTCCGTAGATGAAATTGTCACCCTACTGTTTCAAGACTGAACAACAAAGCATGGGGTAGCTTTATGTTACTGAGCAATAGTCTTATTTTCATCTTCATGAGGTAGGCATCACTATCCCTATGCTATAGAGGAGGCAATGGCAGTCTGGTTTCCAACTGCTAAGTTTAGATTAGGGTTCTAGCCCAAATCTGACCTCCAAAGCCCAATGCTCTAAACCATTTTACTTCTGTTCCTCACAGGCTCCACCTGCCGTCTTTTCACCCCACAGTGGCCCCAATCCCGCCATATCCAACGCACCTTGCCCTTTTGTGCTCGTTTTGCCATCAGCCCTGAGAACTTCAGAGTCTAGATCAAATGCCATCTCCCTAGACAGAACAGCTCCCCGATCAGCTGCCTCTCTTGCTTTCCTAAATCTTTTATCATATTTTCTATGACATTGCTGCATTTACCACTGGGGCTGAAGCCAGACAAGAGCTTAGATATTGAGTAGTTCCAGACACATAACAAACACTCAAATAATAATTGTTGAATAAACAGCTGCCCAGAGCATGCACTCCTTAAGCACAGGTACTAAGTTTGTCTAACTGACTGTTGCATTCCTAGCACAGAGCACAATGCCTGCTCATAGCAGACACTCATTTGTTGAATGAATAAATGAACACACATCTGTTTCTTCATTAAACTGTGTACACTCACAAAGTAGGGATTCTACAATGTCCAGCAAATGTTTATTGAATTAAGGTAACATTAAGAAAGAAAAACTATTTAATGATTAATAGATTTATTTAAACATAATACACATAGTCATCATTGCCAGAATTAATATGAGATGTTAAATGTTCGATCCAATTTTCCTTCCCGAATAAGTTTTTCTTTCCTATCCTGAATAGAAAGAGGGGAAAAAAAAAAAAAATCAAAAACAATGCATTCTGGCACAACCCTCTTAAAAACAGAATGAGATGCTCCGAATCTAATTCTAATTCCCTACTGTCTAAAGCAGTATGAGTGAGGAAGTAGTAGTCTGACTAAAGGAACAATTAAGAAAACACTGCTGTTGTAAAACACCTTACCAACATTTTAGTAAGTAGAATTGTATTACCCCACTAAAAAGTATACATTGAAAGCAAAATGCAAACACCTCTAGGTAAGTGTGGCCTATCTTTTTATTAAGCGATAATTTATCAGATAATCAAAATATACATATTCTAACAGGAGAGTGGATTGGCTGGTTTAAAGCCAAGCTGGATAGGTGGGCCCCAGTCTACATGACAACATGAGGTCTAGGGGCTGGGGCTGAGGTTCTAGTACCAGAATGGCCTAGTACAGCAGCCCCCAATCTTTTTGGCACCAGGGACTGGTGTGCCTATGAGAATCTAATGCCTGATGATCTGAGGTGGAGCTGAGGCAGTGATGCTAGCACTGGGGAGCAGCTGCAAGCACAGATGAAGTTCACTTGCTTGCCCACCCACTGCTCACCTCCTGCTGTGTGGACCAGTTCCTAACAGGCCATGGACCAGTACTGGTTCACAGCCTGCGGGATGGGGACCCCTGGTCTAGTGTCAAAGATAAGCTGGTTTTCTCTGTAATCACATATCCAGGCCTCTGATGGCAGTGATTCCTAGCACATGCTGCTTTTGCTTTTTTGTTGTTAAGGTATTAATAAGTTTTAACATTAATTTGCAAAATATGGCCAATATAACTGAATTCATGCAAATAGGGAACACACCAAATGATTGATGTATGCTAATACTTAACCAAATAAACATCTCTTTTTAAAACCAATGAACTAAGAACCCTAAATATAAAAATTTGCAAATATCTAAAGGTTAATCAGCATAAGTTTAACTTGTGCATATCTTCTGAGAAAAAAATTAAAAAATTTTAAAAGTAATTATTCTCTTGCTTAATATTCACAGTATAATTTCCTTACATTATCTAAAATACACTAGGAAAACTCTTTCATGAGCTAAATCACGTCCAAGAAATATAACCAATTACTTTAAATTCTAGAGCACCTATTAAATTTGAAAGACCCACAGACTACAGTGATTTTTAACAGTGTTTTTCTATAAGAGCGCAAATGATAAAGAAATAAAACCAAATATATAATTCAAACTATGTTTTTTCTCCTGCTGGAAAGGAATAAAGATAAGAAAGGAAGTGAAGGAACAGTAGAGGGCTAAGATGGGAGGTGCACTGGTGGCAATCATTAAGAGAAAGAGCTGCAGCCAGCACAGGGGGAACCTATCACATAAATACTACACCTCAGGTCCTAATACTTACTCTGTCAGTTTTGAAAACATAATACCAGAAGAAAAGGGGCCCCAATCCAAAAACAGCTCCTAAGAGTGAGGTCTTGGGAGTGGGTCTGAAATTGGGATAGATATTTGCAGATCTTGCATAGGTCCAACGAGTCAAGGCAGGATCTTCCTAAAATTATGAAAAGAAAAAGTTACAAGAACTTAAGCAAGCCCACACTGAGAAACAATCTTAACAGGACTTTCGGAGATACGCTTAAGAGACACCTTTTCTCCCCTCTATTACAGTTAAGGGTATACTCTGAATATTCCTAAATAGCTTCAGGGAAGATCTTCCATTCCTAGTACTTGTTGAATAATTCTCTAATGATCCTGGTTCAAATACTTCAGAAATCCCCAAATAATTTTACAAAATTATTCACCGCGATTAACTGATAAAAAAAGAAATGAAATCAGCTTTAAAACTTTAATGCTAAGCCAGAAAGAGAACATGCAAGGTCCTAACCAACACCAAGAATGATTAGTAGGACTAAAATAATTAAACTGGATCTTCCAGAGCAACATTTTAAACCAAACTGCAGAAACAGTCAAGAAAGTGAAGACACGAGACATAGGTTCAAGGGGATGTTTGCGCTCAATACATCTACTCTTGTATCTATCCTTTCTATTAACATATTTGAACAACTCTCCCATGAATTCTCAATCTGCCAATCACCTCTCTACACTTTGATATCTGACATCCCTGCCTTCCAGAAACAATTTCATTTCATAAAAATATCAATAGCCACATGACCATAGTTTACTGAGCCTGGTACTATTGAGAGAGGTTCCAAAACACATGCCTTGGGAGATAGTTCTTTGACACCACTCCACATCCAAAGGACTACCAGCACCATCTGACATAGTGAACACTCTGTGAAATCATTTCTTCATTTGGTTTCCAGGGCACACACTGGCTTGGTTTTCCTCCTAACTCTCTGGCCATTCCCTCTTAGTCTCTTTTGCTCTCTTCTTCCTGAATCTCCAATCTCTTAATATTAGACCTCAGATTTTGCTGGTCTTTCTTATCTACATTCACTCCCTTGATGATCTTCCAGTCACATGGCTTTAAATATCCATCTATAGGCTGATGACTCCCAAAATTATACTTCTAGCCCTAGACCTCTATCCTGAACTCTAGACATAATATCCAGCGGCCTGTTCAACACTGACATGTTGTCTAACAGCCATGTCAAATGTGATGTATCCCACACTGATTTCCCAATATTCCACTCCACCTCCATCCTGGCTCCTCTCATTCTTCTCTATCTTGGTAAAAAGCAAGTTCATTCTTCCAACCACTTAGGTCAAGAATTTTGGAGTCATCCTGACCCCTTTCTCTTACACCTCACATCCAATCTGCAGTGGCCTACAGGGCCCGGTATAATCTAGTCCCAGGTTCCTTTCTGACCTCATCTCTTCCTATTCTGCCCTCACTCACCTCCACATTAGCCACAATGGTCTCTTTACTGTTTCTGTAATTAACCGGGCATGCTCCTGTCTAAGGACCTTTACACTTGCTGTCCCCTCTGCCTAAAATGCTACTTTTCCAGATCCCTCACCTCACTTCTTTCAGACCTTTACTCAAACGTCACCTTCAACGCGAGGCCTTTCCTGGGCCTATCTCAAATTTGCAGTTGCTCTTCCTTCCTACTACAAACACACACTCCTAATCTCTTTCCTTGCTTTATTTTTCTTCTTATCACTTAACACTATCTAACATGCTAAATGATTTAATTTTTTTAACTTATTATTTGTCTCCCCCACTAGAAAGAAAGCTCTATAAGGACAAGGGTCTTTGCCTATTTTGTTCTCCACTGTTACCACAACATCTAAAACATAAGACCTGGCCCTTGAGCACTTATTCACTGAACCAATCATTCTTAAAGATTAGGCAAGTAATTCCCATGTATTGATCAACATATGATTAATTTGAGGCACTCATTTAACGAACAGAACAACCAATGAGGCACCTATCACTACTTCTGTTTTACATGACAAAATTGAAACTGCCCTGGGTCACAGAACTAAATAAAAGAAAATCTGGAGCTTAAACTTGAACTCTGACTCAAGGCCTTATTCTTTTTAACTACATCATACTATGTGGCACAACAAACCCAATCATGTGAGTATGTATATAATGGCCTTTCTCCGTACCATCTTCCCAAATAAATAAGGTTCTGGCTGAAGATGGTACAGCCATAAACATGATATGGGTTACACAGATCAAGGTTTAAATTCTGCTGTATCACTTGCTAAAAGAGTATCACTCTATGACCTACCTGTCCTTCCCATGTTGTCTTCTCATTTGTAAAATGGGGACAGTGATATAGCTTAACTCTCTGAATGGTTGTGATATTTGTGTAATATTCAGAAAGGGTTTGGATAGTGCCTGGGACACTGTAAATTTCCTTCAATCCTCACAACTTCCAAAAATTCCTACAGAACACCAATGCAACTGTTGGGAAAAGTCTGTTGTTGTTTTTTAATTGTGTTTGATATAGTTAAACATCTCTTGTACAGAACATTATCAAAAAACATGTTTGTTATATAATAATAACTATCAGTTTGCTGGGCATATATTATGTGCTAGGAATGATACACAGACTATCTCATTTAACCTAACAATGATTCTATAAAAAAATGTACGACCATTCCCATATATAAAGATCAGAAAACTAAGATTCTGAAGGGTTAGGCAAATTGCCCAAGGTCATATAGTTTGCTAGCATGTAGTGCCTTGGTGTCTGACTCCAAAGTCCAAAGCTTGAACAAGCTGCAGGATCTTTGGGTCTTTAAAAATATAAACTGAACAATCACTAAATTCCCATCAGGAGAAAGCAGCATTGCTATGAACTGTGAATTGGAAAGGGGAAAATAGCTTTAAAAAAAATACACACACAACACATTTTCGAACACTCGTTATCAGCCTGGCACTCTATTTGGCTGGTCACGTGCCTTATCTCATTTAATCCTCGTAACAGCCTCACAAAACGGTTAAGTACTATACTATTCCCATTTTTCAGACAGGAAAACTAAGAGAAAGCTGCAGAGTTGAATAACTTTCTCAAGATCACCCAGGCGGGAAGTGATTAAGCCAAGACTCGAACTCAGCCATGTGTGAGTCCAGAACCCATTCTCTTGACCATCAAACTCTCTGCCCAAGGTCAAAGGGCTAGTAAGTTGACCTGCTCTCTGGACCTGGAAAAGGACCAATGTCTAAGATATTGATCGGGAATGGTGGCCGCCCCGCTGCGAGGTCCCCTTGGCCGGTGCGGGCTGCGCAGCCCTTGAAGGGACCGCCCGAGCTCTGGCCCTCGATCCCCCCGCTCCGGCCGACCCCCACTCACAATGAGCTCTCGGCGGCTAGGGTTGTTGTACTGCAGCAGGTACTCTCTTTTCAGCCGAGATCTTATGGCCAACCGCTCGGCTTGCGCCTTCCGGGTTTCCGGGGATATGTCATACTCAGCTGGGTCAAGGGTAGAGGGCAAGGTGGCCAGGCGCGACGGCTCGTACTTGGGGAACGACATCTTGGGAACCTACCGCATAACTGCGCCTGCGCGGCCCCGAGGCCCGCCCTCTTTGTGCTGACCTTTAGCCTGAGGAAGTGCGCTTGCGCGTGAGCCGGAGGCTGGCGATGGGGTTTAGCAAGGAGCTCCGCTTCCTCTCCCCACCTTCCTCACCAACCTGGCCCGCTGATAGCGACCTGCGCGTGCGCAATGTCATTTTTCTCGCATTCCGGGTTTCAGTTCACTACCTTAGCCGCCGCCCCACTCCCCGAACCTATTGCTTATCGTTTCTTTCTAGTAGCCTTCTTTACTCATGGAACAGCTTATTCTGTGAAGCTGAGCTGTGTGGGGTGGGACTGGCAGAGACGGGAAATGACTGGTTGTGGAGACCTGTTTCAATGTGTGTCCATCCAACCTGTGTGATCTCGGAGAAGTCACTTAACGTCTCTGAGTTTCTTTGTCCATATTCTGGAGATAATGACCCCTATTCTGTCCACGTAGCACAATTGTGAGAATTAAATAAGATAGTGAATAAATGCCAAGGTGCTTTGCAAAACTTAATTCCCTATCCAAGAAGAAGAATAAGCTTTTCTGTACTTTACTACATTAGAGCCACATAACATAAGTAAAAGCCTATTTTTCATGGGCATGAAATAATGTTTAATAGGAGAGTGATGTTGAAAGTGTTGCCTGCCTGGCTATAGTAGGTCAGGAAAAAAAAGTGAGATATTGAATAAAGCTCATGAAGAACCATGATCTTAATTAAAATACTACAACCTCTTACCTAAAATCTTTAGCACTCTTCAGATGCTAAGAATGAAAAACATTCTTAGAGATATGAAAACATGCATAGGGGCATTACGTCTTACTGTGAATGATAATTTAGGAAGAAATGGACGATAACCTGAATTGAAACCTCCATCCCTACTGTCTTTCTCTCTTCTCCAGTATAACCGAGGGAAAAGAACTACTTCAAGTTGCAGGCAGAGTCTATAGGTACCAATCATATACTCAGAGGAAAACATGTAAACGATATTTCCATAACTTGAAGGAAAGCTGGATCAAAAGAGAGCTTCAGCTTGGATGAACCGTCTGGGGACATGTAGGTATTTTGGAAAATGGTTGCTAGGCAGAGAAGGTACCTAGAAAGTGTTGGCACTTGAAGTGATGAGAAGCAGCACTGCCGTCAAATTTATTCAACATTTTAATACTGTTTTAAAATATTTTTTAAGCACCCATTGTGTGAAGCATACTGCACACTAGTCAGTTGATCTTCTAGGCTCAGTGGGGAAAATACAAAAGAAATGAAGGATGTCATGTTTGTCTTTGAGAAGCTGACAACCAGGCAGTACAGAAAGAACAGACTGAATATGCTAATATTTGCATAGCAGTTTAATGTCCAAATGAATATAGAACAAAATGGACTCATGAGAACACAGGCTTAGAGAATGTAAAAAAAAAGAAATATGAGACAAATCACTCACACTCAGTTTTAAAGGAACATCGACAACAAAAGCAGAAAGTTCTGTTTTTTTACGGATGTTTTAAAATATTAAGAAAATAAAATGAAATGAAAAGCAAGAGCAACTTGTAAATTCTAAAAATTCTGAAAACTACATTGATAAAGTTTCAAAAAACTTTTGCTTATAGTTTAGACACTGATCTAAGAAGAAGGGCATGTAAAAGGGATAAAAGAAAAAAGTACAATGAGTACAAGTCTGCTCACAAAGTTAAAAAGGACTTTTTAAGGTTAAGAGAGTGGGAGAGAGACAGAGACAGAGAAAGGAAATATAAACATCGTTTTGCTTTAAGTTAAGGTGGTTATTACCACATTTGCTTGATTATCATAAGGCTCCCTTAAGATGAGTGTTAAAAATATGGAGTCCTAGGGTCTGTTCTGCTCTTAGAGATTCAGAATTGGGCTAGCTGGGAAACGCAGGAATCTGTATTTTTTTATAGCTTCCTTGGGGAGTCTTACAAAATTGTGTGTTTGGAAAACAGAGATGAGTACAAAACGTTTTCTTTCCTTCTTCCTTTTCCCAGAAGGCCCTCTTAGAGTGAGTCTATGTAATACAAGACCTAAATTCCAGAATGAAGGAAAAAAGACTTGATTAGGATTTTATATTAAAATAATGCTACCAAAAACTTATGAAAATGAATTTATCTTACATTTAACAGATTTTAGGTTACAATTACAACTGTGTGCTAATTGTAATAAACCAAGTGTTAATTTGTGGGGACTTTATTTTAATACAGCTCGTTATCCTTCACTTTGCATTAGATTTTTTACAGTAGAGTCATATTTGTAAAAGTGTTGGAGAACTTTACCCAGTTTTCACAAGGCCCTCTCTTAATCTTTTGAAACTAAATGACTTCCTTTTCAATCATTGATGAAGTTCTTATTCTTAATTGTTTTTCTCTTTTTTCACTCGTTACTTGGTTCGACTCGGTGAGATTACTAGTGACTTTGCATGTGGATCCCGCAGTTCACCAACCTTACTTTAATCAATTTCATATTTTTTGCAAAATTTGCAATAGATTTCTATTTTATTTGAGGGCTGCATATTTCCACATAGATGATCAACACTTTGATAGGGATGGGTATAGGCACTAGGATTCACAGATGAAACAATTTAAGTCAGGAGCAATTTCACAAGTGGTATTATATCAATGAATATTTCATGTTTTGAAGACTTTTACTTCTCTAAGAAATCTCCTAATAGGATTTATCAGAGTTTACTGAGACAGACATGGATTACAAAGACTAAGTACATGTACCTGCATTTGGCTAGAAGAGGTGGGATGAGATGGTGAATTGGAGAAGGAGAGAAATGCAAATATTCAGTGGTAGTCAAGCCATGTGTGTGGGGCAGGGTTTCAGGGAACAGAAGATGGACAGGTGAATACAGAAACTGTAAGAAGCAGATAAGTTCCAGCTTGCGACAATATGAAGAGCATTCTTTCTCTTAATTGGGTAGGATCATAGATATATCTGTGAATAAACTCCCAACTTTAGGCTGAGAAAATATAAACTACCAAAATAGGTATAAGCGCTTTGTCAGGTTAAGAAAATTCCTTTATATTCCTTGCCAAAAGTTTTTTTAATCATGAATGAGTGATGGTTAATCAAATGCTATTTCTACATTTTTTGATATATTACCATATGTTTTTTCCTCTGATAATTTGATTAAAAGATGGAAACCTTGGTAAATTGTTCTGATGTGGAGTCATTTTGCATTCTGAAATTAAGTCTATTTCATGGCCATGATATGTTTTTTAATGGACTGATGAATTAAATTTATTAGCATTTTATTTAAAATGTTATAACTTAGGGACTATATTCTTTGAAGGCTTCATAATACTGTCTGGGTCTTCCATCTATTTTCAGGGGAGACTTTTGACTATCGATTCAATTTCTCTAATAGTTGTTGGTTTGTTCAGGTTTTCTTTTTCTTCTGTAATCAATTTTAGTAATTTACATTTCTCAAATATTTTGTTTTAAACTTATTGCTGTAGAGTTTCTAATCTCATGATTTTTTTCACTCTCCACTGTCTTTATAATGATAACATTCTTTTTGTTTCTAATATTATTTATCTGTTTCATTTTTCCTTCATCTATTCTGCTAGAGGTTTGTCTACCTTGTCTTTTCAGAAAACCCATTTTTTATTTTGTTAATCATCTCTTATTCTGTTTTTCTTGAGATTGTTCTAATCTTTTTAGCTTCTTAAGCAGAATGGTTATCTTGTTCATTTTTGCTTTTTTAAATAATTTTTTATGCATCTAATTCTGTACATTCCATTTTAGCTACATCTCCACAAGTTTTTATTAGTATTTTCATTGTCATGTAGTTCTGAGTAGTTCATAATTTTCATTGTTTATTTCTTAACTCATGAGTTATTAAGAAACACGTTTTTCACTTTCTGAGAGATTTTTCTTTTATCTATCTTTTTATTGTTAATTTCTAATTTAATTACATTATTGTCAGAGTACTTTGTATAATGTTAATCCTTTGAAATTCACTGAGACTTTCTTTGTGACTTCATATGTGGTCAGTTTTTGTTTTTTTTAATAAACCATTTTTTTGGAAATTTAACATACATATAGAAAAATGCACAAATCATACATATGCTTTTCAATGAGTTATTATAAAGAGAACACACCCTTGTAATTATACATAGTCATTTTTATAATAGTTTCACGTGAGCTTAAAAAGAACGTATATTCTACAGTCATTCAGTGCAAGGTTTGATCAAGGTCATTAATTACGTGGTTTAGATCTCTCATATATTTATTCATCTCTGTCTACTTAATCTATTTTCAATATAGAGATGTATTATAATTTCCCAATTACTATTATGGTTTGTTAATTTCTCCTTGAGCAAGATAGAATATACAGTGTGAATTGAAGGTAATATGGAAACATTTTAATGTCCATGCATTTGTGAATTGGTATCATAAAGACAAGACAACTCATACATAATGGTTTTCTCACTCTATCCATTTAGGGTGTTATACAAACCAACCAGGCAAAAAAAAGATTTCTGCTTAAAATATACAGTACACTTTGAAACACATCTGTCATGTAGACATATCCAAAAGCTTATGAATATTACATTCTGCATGCCTCTTCTTCAGTTTTTTCATCCTAGTCTTAGTGCAGATCTGTTCTTATTACTAAAGTCACTTACATAAGCATATATTTGTACTTAAAAGGAACAATAAGTTTCCTACAAGTATAAGGTGACATTTTCTTGCAAATTGTCAGTTTAACATAAAATTAACCCTCTTAGCTGAGGCTTTGTCATGCTTTCTTCTTTAGGATAAAGTACTACCCTATTATCATCTTTCACTTAGGGAAAGCAATAGCCTCCTAGCTGATTTTTTTACATTTATTCACACTTGCCACACTCTCATTTCTTTTCCATACAGCAATCAGAGTGACATTTTTAAGTATACATTATCCTAGCACCCTTAATTAAACCTATACATGACGTAAAGATGTGATGTCCTCTTATTCATCTTTTCCTTTCCTTGATATTTTTTCCTCTATCGATGCCACC